TCTACCATGATTGTGAAGCCTCCCCAGCCAAGTGGAAATGTAAGTCAATTAAATCTCTTTCTTTTGTTAATTCCTTTGTCTCAAGGGATGTCTTCACCTGCAACATTAGTACAGACTCCAGCCTGGTTACAGAGAGAGATTCCGTCTCAAAAAAAAAATGTGGAAAACATATAAAATATATTGCTAAGTAATTTTTGTGGCACGGTCACATAATAAGAAATTATATTTCTCTAAATTATTTTATTGCCACTAAACTTCTCCAGGAGTCTCCTATCTGCTCTGGGCCCTGCCCTATCCCAAGGCATCCCACTTTCAAGCTTGCTATGTAGTAGGCGATAATCAAATAGAGCTCTCCCTCTTCTGATGAAAACCACCCCAGTTCTGGTCCTGCATCTCTGGGAGAGGAGCGCCAGCCCTGGGATTTCCAGGTGTTTCTGCTTGGTAATGAGAACTGAACACAGGGGATTCAGTATGGGCTTTGAACTGAGCTAGATTTTTCTTCTTACTATTTTAAAATATTATTCATAGAGAATTAGAGATAGTGAGTGTAAGTGAATATGAGTGAGAGGAACCGTGAATGCCTTTGGCAGTTTCTAACCAGGATGTCTATGTATATGAGGTTTAGCTGGTGGAGTCTGGAGAAGGCATAAAACAGCCTGGAGCTTTCCTGAGAATCTTTGTGCAGCCTCTGGATTCAACTTTAGTAGCTACTGAATTATCTGGGTCCACCAGCCTTCAGAGAAGCTGCTGGGGTGAGCAGTGAACATAAAGTAAGATGGAAGTCAGACATACCATGCAAACTCTGTGAAGGACAGATTCTCCATCTCCCAAGACAATTCCAAAAACTTGCTATGTCTGTGAATGAACAGTCAGGGCAGGGAACATGAATTTGTATATTACTTTACATAAGGTACCAAGTGAGGGAACATCAAAATTTCTTTCAGAGAGAAGAAGGGAGACTGGGCTGCAGGGGACATGTGCACCCACAGAATTTAGGGACATCCCCAGGACAGGTGTAGTTGACGGTCAAGGGTCTGTGGCTTCCTTCAGGGTCTGTGGCTTCCTCTGCATCAGTTTCCCTTGGACCCTCTCTGTATTTATGGTTTCTGTGCCTACCACTGAGGTCTCTGGATTAGAAGTTTATTTTAAAAAATTATTATTTGTCCCAAAGTCAGATGCAAGTAATGGAGGCAGAAAAACACATAGGAGGCAAGCTGAGGCTGTAGACACTATCAGGCCAGGATGTCAGTATCACAACCAGTGATGGAGAAACATGGAAGTTTGATGGAGCTTCCTAGTTAACCTGTGTTCCAAGCCAAGTCCAGCGAGGCCTTTGGTGCCTCCCTGATTACTGTTGCCCATCAGGAGGCTCCCATCAGTCCCAGCAGCAGCCATACCCTAATATCGCCCCTGTGCACAGCCGTTTTCTGGGAGGAGCTCCCATGATTGACACATTTAAACACAAACCAGGTGATAGATGTAAGAGAACAGAAACTGGTTGACTATGCAAACATCAATTTCTGAATCAGTGTTGTGAATATTTTGGAACACAGCCACTAGATCACATTTTAACTCTACTTTTTCTGTGTTAAATATGCCAAAATGTATTTCATTTTGTGCAAGTACCATTTTGTATTCTCACCAACCATGCATAATAGTTCTTTTCTCCACATTCTTACTGCCATTTGACGCTATGAATATTGTGCATTGAAACCATTTTAATAGATCAGTAATAGCAGCTCACTTTTGTTTCAATGCACACATCCCTAATGAAAAATTTAAACAACAATTTTTATATAATTTTAATGAGGTGCCTGTTTTAATATTTGGTTCATTTTTTACTGCATTATAAAACTAGGTGTAAGTATACTTGAGTAATCATTATAAAAGTCATTCACTAAATTAAAAGAAGTCATTTAACAGATACATTACTTGAAAATATTTTCTCCAAGTCTGACCTTGTCTTTTTACTAGCTTATCAGTGTGTATTGCAGAAAAATGTGTGTGCACATTTATGAATTTGGATAAATTAATATGTATAATTTTATTCATTCATAGACCATGTTTTTGACATTATATCTTAAAACTCATTATAAAATATACTAGCAGTGATTATTTTTTCCAAATGTATAATCTCAGGCTTCAATCAATACATGAGTGTTTAAACCTCACCTACTTGATAAGAAAGAGGACCATCAACCTAAGATATTTTGAATACTTCTGTAAGGGAGATGTGTCTTTTTTTCGAGTTTTCTTTATTTAACATCTATTAATAACAGTATTGTTTGATGGATGTTTAACTCTGAGAACGATCCATGCTTCCTTATTTAAGTTATTGCTCAAATCACCACAACTTTTTCAATACAAAAGCTGGGACCTCATTTAATTAGGATCCTGTGTCCTTATAGGATACCTTTTCCTTTTCTTTTTGAACACTTTACTACTTCCCAGTATTATAAGAAATTCTAAGCTCATTTTCTGTATTATCTTTTTCATACATAGAATCAGCCATTTTTCTAAGGATTGCTGCCTTCTGGTCTTGAAGAATAGTGTTAAAATAGAAAATTGTGAGGTTGCGTATATGTGTTGTTAATGGGATATAAGTCCTTCTAGGACCTCTCAACTAACTGGCCTAGAAAATGTGAATGTGTATATTAACCCGTGTTTACAGTCACATCTAAACTATACATCTAATCTTGTGAACTTATATCACATTAAAAATGAGAACACGTTTATATCTCCACCCAACAAAGATACCACATGAACATTTCTAGCTCGACTGCCTTGCCTGTCAATCACCACCCACCTCAAAGTGAGGAATCCCGTCCCACCATATGCCATTGTATTACATTTCTGCACAGTTTCAGGAATCATGCATAGCAGTAGCAAAACTGTGAAGCTGTACCGCAGCTGGAAACATGTTTACCTACTAGAGTACAGTGCTTATTTGAAGTTAAATTATAGTTTAGAGTTTCAGAATTCCCCCATTTCCAAAGTTATTTAGGTCAGAGCCTATTTTCTGCTTTTTTCAATGAAGTATTTTTATCTAATTTGTTGTATGCATATTATACCAATCATGCAAACCTACTAGCACGTTTACCGTAATCCAATACTACTTGAACATTTCTCACTTTTCTTCCTTGCTGTCTGTAACCTCCTGCTCCAGCTGTGAGAACCCCCTCCCAACACACAACATGCATTCTCTTTTTTGTTTAATTCCAGAATTCCTGTAGTGTGGAATCACTATTGGTAAGCTATGCTCCTTTGTGGAACATCATCATCAACTACAGGACAGTGCTGGCATGCAGTTTGTTTCTAAGTCTTACTGACTTTATTATTTCTAAAGCTATTTAGCAGCTTTTCTTATTCATTCAAGTTGTTTCATATATCTGTAAAGACATCAAATATTTTCTGTATAGTCTGCATTTCATCTTTGGGTCCCTAATCTCTTATTCACTTTTAACTTTTTGTAACATGAAAGAAGACCACTGCACTGTTAAAATTCAACTGTAAGAATATGTAATGCTTCCATGTACTACACAGTATATTCTCACCAGTTTAGTTAATATGGATTACATATGAGAGTGTGGCAATGCACAAACTCTATCTGAGGAGAAAAATGTTAAGGAAAATAGAGCAATTTGAAGCCACTGACACCAACAACTTCAGCACCAATAAAATGATTTCACCCTCATTAGCCTCAAATTTACTTTGCGTGGGACATCTGCAGTTCCAAAGTGGGACCAGTGAATTCAATGTGCATGTCCTTCCCAGGTCTCCACTTGTATTCTGTTTTCTTTGTTTCTGTTTGCAGAAAGACACAAACTCAACCTTAGTGCCAGTGTAGGGAGAGTTTCTCATGAAATGGATACCAGAAAAAAATGGCAAACATAGGACTCATTAATGTAAAAATTAGCCACAATGTATATGTGTGTGTGTGTGTGTGTGTGTGTGTATCTGTGTGCGTGAGTGTGTGGGTGTTTGTGTCTGTGTGTGTGATTTGAACAGTTGCTTTGGAGTGGGATTCCATCTACATGCACCTGTATCTGCAGGTATTCTCAGGGGCAGTAATCAACTGCAGGACCCTGAAGGAAATAAGAGTCTCTCCCCAACCTCTGAAGAGTTTTTGGATTCAGCATGTGACCAATGATTCGGTACCTCTTGAGCTCCATGAAAGTGCTCCCGGGAGATGCATTAGATATTTTCTTAGGGTCTCCCTGCAGAGTTCACTGGGTTTCCTAAGGCCAATTCACTATTTCAAAAGATGGTGTAAGAAGCATATGGTGTCATTAAAGGAAAATTCTGAACCAGGGCACAGACACTTTATACTGGGCTAGAGACATTCGTAAGAGTATACTCTGTCAGCTCAGACAGAAACCTCCCTGCAGGGTCAGGGCTGGGCTGCAGGGGGTACTCAGGACACACCCAGCACAGGCTCCTGCCCCAGAGCAGGTGCACAGGATAGGAGGCTGGGGAGGGTTTCCTCTCAGGTCCCGGGACTTCCTTTAAAAATATCTAAAATAAGTATTTCACAAGGACTGCTGATGTTCATATAAATATCCTGTTCAATTGTGAATATTTGTCAAACTGGATGTTGTAATGAGACATACTTTTACAATGGGGATTTCAAACTCGGCTAGATAGCTTAACAGTAAGCAGCTGGAGGTCAGGAAGAAATTCTTTCTTATTTATAAGTGCCACTTTGGAATAATGCACTCATTCCCAAAATAACACTTTCGCATATCAAGGTCTAGAAATGGTTCAAATTGCCCCTGAGACACTCAAATGTGGGTTCAAAGTGAGGTGCCTGTCCTGCGGGAGCCTGTTCCCCAGTGGGGGAAGCTCTGTCAACACAGAGTTCAGGGATGTGTCGGGGACACATGGCCTCTAACAGATTTATGGCTTGAGCTCTCAGCTTCTACAATTGTGTCGTCCATGTGTCATCTATTTGATCTTTCTCATACTGGATCAGTAATTGGGCTATTAAATAGCATCCTTCATGAATATGCAAATAACTGAGGTGAACTTAGATATCTCTGTGCCCTGAGAGCATCACCCAACAACCACACCCCTCCTCAGGAGAAGACCTCAGAACACAGCTCCTCACCATGGACTGGACCTGGAGGATCCTCTTCTTGGTGGCAGCATCAACAGGTAAAGGGCAGCCCAGTCCCAGGGCAGAGGGAAAAACCAGGCCAGTCAAGTGAGGCTTCACCCACTCCTGTGTCCTCTCCACAGGTGTCCACTCCCAGGTGCAGCTGGTGCAGTCTGGGGCTGAGGTGAAGAAGCCAGAGGCCTCAGTGAAGGTCTCCTGCAAGGCTTCTGGATATGACTTCAGTACCTATGGTATCAGCTGGGTGCGACAGGCCCCTGGACAAGGGCTTGAGTGGATGGGAGGAATTATCCCTATATTTGGTATCACAAACTATGCACAGAAGTTCCAGGGCAGAGTCACCATGACTGCAGACACGTCCACAAGCACAGCCTACATGGAGCTGAGCAGCCTGAGATCTGAGGACACGGCCGTGTATTACTGTGCGAGAGACACAGTGTGAAAACCACATCCTGAGAGTGTCAGAAACCCCAGGGAGGAGGCAGTGGCACTGAATTTGAGATTACAGGGATTACAGTGTTTAAAGTTGTTTAGAAAATGGTCTAAACATGAGGAATATGAGCAATAGAAACATGTATGCACTCTGTATAGGAAATACCTCTTTCAATAATCACCCTATATGTAAAATTTACAGAGTGGTAAAGACAGCAATCAATCAAGCTGATGCAAACATTCCCGTGGAGGCTTTGTGGAGACACGAGTTTTAAAATCAGATAGAAAAAAAATTTTGAGCAACATTGCTGGTAACATGGCTAAGACTAAATATGATTCCTAAAAACTGCTCAAAATGTATTCCAACATGTCTGTGACTCCTTTCACATAAAATATATTAATAGAAGTTGTAAGACCACAACAAAATTGAACAGAAGGTGCAGAGAGTTCCCTTGTGTCCCTGCTTCACACATGCATAGCCTGCCCCACTATCACCATCCTGCCCCAGAGTCATAAATAAGTTATGATGGATAAACTTACATGGATGCATTGTTTTATTTTTTTTTTCTGGTGGTCCTTTGGCATACCAAGCCTAAATTATCTTGAAGCACCATAGGTCCTTCAAGTGGATTCCTGGGAATTATGCCAGTTAGAGGAAAAGTGGGTGGGGCTATCACTATTTGGACTCTCTTTTAGAGGATTCACAAAATTTATATTTTCTTACAGGTTCTGTGACTCCTGATTTACTGATTTACTATGTCCCTTCCATGGGGGTAAGGTATCTTGAGTGTTTAGAGGTAGATCCATGTCTATGAAAAGTTCTGGTGAATCCCATCAGGAATGTCCTTTAATGAGAAGTGGAGACCTTGGCCATGAGGCACATCATGTATGATTTTCTATAGTTCCGTTAGATTCACTGTAAGCTTTGTGGGTGTTTCTGGATGACACCCATTGTACAGAAAATGAAAACGCATGCATGAGATTCAGGCAGAAGCAATAGCTTCCATTTACAAAGTGGAAGGGAAATAGAAGAAACCCTCTCATGGGCGGGCACTGGTCCCCCTTGCTGGCTGCACATTAGCCAGTCATGAGTCCGATTGGTCTTCGAGGGTGGGAGCCCCACTGGGGTCACTGGCTGTGGAAATGACTCGACCTCCAGCTGAGCAAGTCCATCTGCTTGCCTGTTGGTGTCAACCCCATGGTGGGTGCACTCTGGAAGATGACAAGATGCACACAAACCTTCTATTAATCTTCAGTTACTACACACTCAAAAACAAACTATTCCAGAAAGGGACAGGTGTCTCCAGGGATAAACAGAGCTTGAGTGTTTTTTAAATAGGGAAGGCACTGCCAAATGCCATATGTTTCGGGAAGGTTAACGCAGAAATGTTGACCAAGTGACTGAAGGGCAATGGGGCTGAGGTGATGTGACAGTCCTAGGGCTGCACACGAGGAGGGCTCCCTTCCCATGCAGGCTTTTCTTCCAAGAAATCACAAAAGATTAGGGAGAATTCTGAAGACATCATTCTGTGGTGCTGCCTAGAAATAAAAAATAAAAAAAGCTATGGGAAAAACAAACGTAGATAATTTATTACATTTGTTAATACAAAGTATTTCTGAAACCTTGTGGTGGTTGTGACATAAGCCATCATAAGCTGTGATCAAACCTGTAAACCCTTCTTCCATGTAGTCAGTTATGCTGCATCTGTTCTTTTACAGACAATATCCCTCAACCCCTCTCTACTTCCTGCTCTCTGTGGGACAAGTTCTCATCAATGAAATGTGGTTGATGTAGTGAGGTCTTCACTTTTCTCATTGTATTAAACATGATTCTCTAGAGGGTCAGAACTAATAGGATAGATGTATGTATTTGAAGGGGAATTTATTAAGGAGTATTGCCTCACACCATCACAAGGTGAAGTCGCATAGTAGGCCATCTGCAGCCTGAGGAGCGAGGAAGCCAGCCCGAGTCCCACAACCTCAAAAGTAGGGAAGCCGACAGTGCAGCCTTCAGTCTGGCCAAAGGCTGGAGAGCCCCCAGAAAACCGCTGGTGTGAGCCCAAGAGTCAAAGCTGAAGAAGTTGGATTCTGATGTTCCAGGACAGGAAGCATCCAGTATGGGAGAAGGATGAAGGCCGAAGACCGCCAAGTCTAATCCTTCCAATTTCTTCTACCTGCATTATTCTAGCCATGCTGGCAGCTGATTAGATGGTGCCCACCGAGGTTCAGGCTGGGTCTGCCTCCCCCAGCCTACTGACTCAAATGCTCACCTTCTTGGCAGCACCCTCACAGACACACCAGGAACAATTCTCTGCATCCTCAGTGCAGTCAAGCTGACACTCAGTATTATCCATCAAACTCATCTTCTGTGTTGTCATGTTCCTCTCTTCATCTGAGTGTAAGAAACTCAGCAGCATGTGGCACATCACAGCTTAATGTATCTCATGGGCAAAACAGTGGCAAAGGTACCCACTAGGGTTGAGCATCTCGTGTTGCTGACCGCAACCGCCACAGGGCAACGTCCCTCCACCATCCTGTGTCAGAGCACCACTGGGGGATTGTATTGGTAACTTCCCTGCAGAGTCATCTTAAAAACCGCTGGTCTCATTTCCCAGAAAGGTATAGCCCATCTATTTTCTCTTCCTAGCAAAATGAAAAGGGGTGAACACTGAATACACTGAATGTCTCCTGGTTTTGCAAGTTTGTGACTTTATCCCTTTCTAATTTCTGATCTATGCAGACCACTCTACAATGTTTTCTCACTGAAATGACCAGCATTCTGGCCGGTAAATATAACTGACCTTTTTCATATGGAATTCAGCACAAGTTCCTCATAGTTTCTGTCCTCAGGTACCACTCTAAACATACACAACTTGTTTATTTGTTTTATATTCTGGCATCTCTATTTGGCATCTTCATCATACCCATCTTATGTTACTTCTATGAAGGATTGATTAAATTTAAAATTTATAGGTACTTGATTTGATTAAATATTCAGGAAATAACAGGATGAAATGAATGTAAAATAAAATTAAATAAATAAAATAATATTTAAAATAAAGGAGCCAGCAGCTGAAAGCAAGGAAAATCTATTCTGCTGGGTCAGAGGTTATTGAGAACTCATAGTACAATATCTTATCCAGGTTAACCATTACTTCTACTCAAGTTACAGTGTCTTCTCTCCTTATATCAAAGGTTTCCTTAATATGTGCAATGAAGACTGATCACAGAGTCCTCCTGCTAGACTGAACTAGCCTCTGTCACTGAGCCTGAGGTGATAGTGACAGATATCACATTTGCCTAACAAAATAATTACACCCTGCAGGGGCACCCACCGGGGATATGGAGACAATTTGAATAATATAAATAAAGCCCAAACTTGATAGGATGTTGTTTATACTTAGAAGAATTGACTGTTCTCTCTACATGTGTTTGCTTTTTATCACAGAAGCTGCTACTGCCACTGTCCGAGTTGCTGAATATTTTATTTCCTAGCATGAGATGCTACATAATATGTTCTAACATGAAGGAATGTGGCTATTGTTTCAGGATAGGAGATGTGATTATGGAATGTGAGCATGGGATCCAGCAGACATTCCTCTTTCACATTTGCCCAGAAACAGAGACCTCAGTAGAACAATGAAATTATTGACTTCAGTCTCCACAGTTGGATGTGAGATTTCCACCAGATGTTCTCTGGCACTGTTTTATAGTAGAAAATATAATCTCTAAACAAAGTCCATTTTGGGGAGAATACTATCCTCCAGGCAGCTGCACGTGCCCCGTAACAGAGAGCATTATAGCGCCTTATGGCCAGGAGCTACAACACCTGGGTCTGGAAACCAACAGGCAGAAATATCAGGTGTTCTTGCCACATCTATGATGAAAATCTGGAGAATGTTTCTTTCCATCTCTATAATCATAGGCTGTGATGGACTGGAGGTCCTGGTACATCGAATGAAATGTGTCCACAGTGGGTACAGAATGAGTACCATAAAATCGTTGTTCTACTGGAGTCCCTGTGCTATCCTCTGATGTCTCTTTTAAAATAACAAATTTCCAAGTTGATGAAAATAAAGAAGATCGTTAGAAAGACGTGGTGGAAAGGCATCTTTAACATCCTATTGAATGTTTCTGCAGTGCACATCAGTCTCCTAAAATACTTTGCTGTATCTGCATTTAATGAATAAGAGTCTAATATTGAAGGTACAATTGAAAATACATGGGCTTTTGATGAATCAAGTCATATGGGGATAATATGTGTGTCCTTGAGAAAGCAGACTGTGTTCTAAGTTTTAGTGATGTACCTTTGGCAAAAAAAAAAAAAAAAAAAAAAAAAAAAACATTCATGTGTTTCTGAACATTATGCTACTTTAAACTTAAGGATGCAATTTATGATTTAGTTTTACTTCAAATTCTCCAGAAGATTATTGGTAGTAAGAAAACTGCAGCGTTTGAGTAACACTAAGGAGGTAAAAGAGTTATTTTGTAATTACTCCTGTGAGGGATGCACATCGCTCACTTGATATGGAAATTCAAATGTCACAGGTGGGAAAATCAGAATAAAGCAAATTATATGAACTATTATGTCTGCAGTTTTTGTCAAGCAAGTAATTCATGTCAACAAGAAAACAGACACAACAAAAAATCATATACAAATCCAAGGGGAGCACGACCTCTGCCCTCTCTCTTATAAATACAAGGCAGTGCCACACCCAAATTGTTTTCCAAGCTCCAGGATATAAAATGCTTTTGGACTGTGGAAGCTAACAGCTCTCCCCTCAGGCAAGGCTAAGGTACCTGGGGAATGCAGAGTTGTGTTCATGAAGAAGATGGCATTATTTTGTCTTCTGTGCCTGGTGAGAGCTCCCCAGGGTGTGTCTTAGATGTCAGACATGGGTCTGTGGGGTGAGCGCAGGCACTTGTGACAGACAGGCATGGATCATCCATGTACTCACATGCCCTGTCCCAGGAGCAGCTGCAGGAGTCAGCCCTGGACGTGAAGAGCCCACACTGTCCCTCTGCCTCAACTGC